GGAAAGGTAAAGGATGGGACAAGCGGGAACGGCTTTAAACTAAAAGAGGGGAAATTCAAGTTAGATGTTAGATAGAAATTCTGTACTCAGAGGGCAGTGAGGCAGCAGCACAGCTGCCCAGAGCTGTGGGTGCCCATCCTGGAGGTGCTCATGGCCATGGATGGGGCCCCGGGCAGCCTGAGCTGGTGGGGGCAGCCAGCCCATGGCACAGGGTTGGAGCTGGGTGGGCTTTGAGGTCCCTTCCAACCCAAGCCATTCCATTATAGCTATTGCCATCCTCTTTCTCTGCTCTGCTTTCAAACACCCCACATCTCCACTAAGCCAACACAGGTTGATTCTCCATGGCAGTCCACGGAGTCGCATCCCTGCCAGCCCAGAGCAATACAACTTGGGCCTATAGGTTTCACTTGGAAGGAACATCAACAGGAGGTTATGAGGTAAAGAACGGAAACATCTGTAAATGTACACAGGTAGCTAAAGCAGTCCTCAGAAGAGATACGTAAAAGCACAGACTAACCTACACTGGGCACATCTACACCCTCAGATGCCTGAATACCTTTCAAGAATGTTTGTTTTCATGTGAGATTCCACTTCCAAAAATAATTAAAGTTTGATTCTAGCCAACAGTTTAAGTACCACAGCACGTAAATGTAAATAATTACAGTTTGGTCAATGCACAGCAGCAACTCTGATCTTTAAAAATGGAAGGACAGCAACTTGGGCAAACAGAAGTAAGTATCATTTTTTCCGTAATTTCACAGATTAATGTGATATATTAGCTAAAGAACAGTGCTATTACGGTACCCTTAGGCTTTAGATCACATCATGCCACATGTTCATTTGGCTGCTAAAGAGCAGCAACCAAACGATTAGCATTTTTTCCAAGGATAGTAGAGATTAATAGTCTGAAGTCATTTCTTTAACTTTACCGTGAAACCGAAACACTGAATTTAGAGCCAACTTTAATAACATTATTTCAGAAAATCCCAAGTTAGTCCTTGAGTGCTGATCAAGAGGTGAACAGGGTCCTCACTGTTATCTGGATTCGCTGTAATTGGATACAAACCCCAACCAAACTCGAGCATCTTGATAACAGCACAGCTTTAACTAAGGGCATACATATAACTAAAGACACCACTTCTCTTACTAAAGGAACAGAAGCTGTGAGCAAAGCCACCACCCTACTGAAATCAATAGGTGTTTTTCAGCAATTTCCCCAAATCTCCTTGTGCTTCTAGTTCTAGGTTTAAAAGGCGAGCGAAGAGCTTAACACTGGTTTCTTTTTTGAGCTGTACTAAAGCTCTTCGTTTCCCATCACTCAGCTGTTCCAGCTCTCAGGCAGAGGAGCAGAGGTGACAGGGTAACCCTTCACAGAGCTCAGCAGGCCCCATCTGCTCAGCAGAGATTCCCAGTGCGATACAGGAGGGACAGTGAACAACAAGATAACACCCACAGTAAGAGCCTCACTGCTCTGATCAGAACATACTTTTTCTTTTTTTAAATTTCAAAATCCTTCTTCCCCATTTCCTACATTTCCTAGTGAAGAAGAAGAGGAACTAGGGCATGAGAAAACAGCCAGAGACACCCATGCATACAGGCATGAGCTTCCCTTCCTCTCCCAAGCATAGCAGCATCCCCAGCCTAAACATACACAAAGCAGAATCTCTTCAATGCCCAGATGTGACTAAATTCCAATTACCCCTCGCTTGCATTCATTTACTTTTTAGCAGTGCCTCCCCTCCTCGAGGCCTCTTGTTCCCTTCCCTAACTTCGGGGTTCTCTCGCTGCTCTCCGGCTGTCAGTGCAGGCAGCTCTTCTGACTGCCTGAGGACCCCAGAAAGCCACATCCTGGCTGTTAACCACAACTCAGCTCCTGCAGACTGCATGGACAGCCAAGCTCTTCCTGAGCTGCCCCCAGAAGCGTGCCAGCCGGCTCGGCTCACACAGCCTGGGAAGGCTCATTCCACGTTCTTTATCTGCAAGGACTCCATTAGCGGCTTCCCGGAATGCAAAGTGTATTTTAAGAAGGAACTGAAAATAAGGGATAATTAAAATGTAAGAAGTGTCATCTTCATAAAAGCCACAGGACTAAATAAAGTCTTGGAGGGCCCTCTCCTGTACATTCCGTATTTCTCTACGTGCACAACACACCTTCCTCTGCAAAACCTTGAGCAAACAAAGGCAGTCCTCTCAGCACCTTGACAGAACAGCTAAAGTAGCGTTTGATTAGTTCATAAGAAAAGCTCTGAGGCTATTTTTTCCTCCAGGCAGAAAATAGTTACAGCAGGATTACCTCTCGACTTGGGAGTATGAAGACTCAAAAATCCAAAACCCATTTACAGACAAGCACCAGGAGGGCGACAATTTCATTCATTAAGACAGAGCTAATCTAGGTTTGTGCATCTTGTCAAAGGAAAAACCAACAATTATCACCCAGAGATGACAGGACTGTCACAGCAACAGCCACAGATGAACAAAGGTGCACTTTTTCCTTTACAAGAAAGTATTTATCTCTCAGCAGAGCACTGAGAAGCTACATAGAAAGGTATCACAGCAAGATTACTATTTACATCTTACTGATTCTTGGTGCCGTGAATTTAGATTAATGAGCAAACAGACCCCATGGAAACCACCTCTTCTACCTTGTCTTGGTTTGATTTATTAAGCAATGCAATTACCAGTGACAAGCCCACAGAGAAATGCACTGAACTTAGCAGTTCAGGAACAGCAAAACCTTACCTATCTGTGTGCGCAAGGATGCCTCCTTCCTCTGAGTGCAACCAAAGGGACAGCAACACACACACCTACCTACACAGTGAGCACTGACTGCAATCCTAATGAAAGAATACTGCAAAGGCTTGTTTGGAGAGTGGTTCGTTTATTTTTTTGAAGAAAAATTACCCTTTGTGCTTCTTCACAAAGTGAGTTAGAAGGGAGAAAGCAAACAGCGACTTCTTATATTTAAAGAGAGCTGGATACAAAGAAGAGGGAGGAAAGGTGCTTGTTGCTTAGCATACAAAATAACAACACCTCAGCTCCTCGGGAAGCTGTATGAGAGGAACTGAAACACTTGCAGGAGACATGAAGTGGTTAATAACGGCTGGGATTCCCCGCCAACACAAATTCCAATGATTTGCCATTGGATGCTGTCAGCACCAATGTCCTGTTCCAGTCCACTGAGATCCTCCCTGCAGCTTCCCTGCCTCAGGCATCTCCCATGCATGATCAGAGTCCAGAGCGCATCTACGCCACACACACACTCACACTCACACACACACACACACAGGCACCCCAGGAATTGCTGCTTTTCAGAAGAAGGCATGAAAGAGCAGCAGAGTCACTGTGGTCTGACATGATGTTGTCTGGACGAAGAATAAATGCAATCTGCACAACAGCCTACTTCCCAAGCAAACCCTTAGCGATGGACAGCCCTGAGACAGCCCCAAGTATTACACAGCTGTTTTACAGCTCTGGCATTGAAGAGCTCACCTACACACAGCAAACAGCCACAGACCTGCTCCCCCTGATAATCAAACCACAATGCAAATATTAGCAGGCTCAAACGCCGCTGATCAAAATCTGCAAGTCTCACAGTATTGTCACATTAAGCCTACATTGCAGCTTGTTTTCCTCAAGCGTGCCTAGAGCCTGCCTTCTAGATGTAATTACTGTGCAATATATATCAGAACCAGAGAGAAAGGCTTCACTCTGAGGGCTGGAATTGAGAAGAAATCAATACAAAGGAGATAAATGTTTCTTCAAGAGCTGCAGAGGTATTAACCCTCTCTCCAGCTTATTTTCTTCTCGCTTCCAATCATTTTACCATCCGAGAAGCTGCTGGAAAGACCGGGATGTGGCAGCTCTACCTGCTCAGCTCTGCACTTGAGGTTAGAAAGAAATAAAAATGAAGTGTACTTAAAAATTAAAAAAAAAAAAAAAGTGGAAGTTGCTGCGACGCTTTGAGAACTGCAGCCTCGCTCCCGCCGGCACACGCGGAGCAGCCCACAGCCGGGCAGCGGCAGCAGCACGCGGGAGGAGCTGCGGGGCCACGATCCACGGCCGGTCCCGTACCGAACACGAACACACGGCGGGGAGCGCAGCCCACCGTGACCTCCACGGGAGGGTGGCGAAGCCGGGAAGAGAATAAAGAAACTACGTGGGGGAGAGAGGCTCGGGGTGGGGTTAAGGCGTTTTCAGGACGACCCTGAGGACTGGGGGCAGCCCGGCGTACGGGTACGCGCCCAGCAGCGCGCGGCGCGGAGCCGAGGGGGCCCGGCGGCTCAGCCCGAAACAGCGCGGCCCCGCGGGGGCAGCGGCGGCGACAGAGCGCCCCTGGTGGGGAGCGGCGGCACCACGTCCCGAGCCGCGAGCTCCCCCGGGCCGGGGGCGCTGCCGGGGCCGCGGATCCCGAAGCGGGGCGCGGAGAGGGAGCTGCGCTCGGGCGGGCGCGGAGCGCGGCCGCCGCGTTTCGGCGGAAGGCGCGGGGGAACAACGAAGAGCCGCCGAGAGCGCGAGGCGGGAACGCGCGGGAAGGCGCTGAGCTCCTCAGCCTGCGGCCCGCATAGCCGATTCCCGCGGGGCGCGCGGTGTCAGCCCCGGCGCGGAGCGGGAGTGCGGCTCCGCAACCCCGCCAAGGTCAGCGCGCGGCGCGAGCGGGGCAGCTCCGCGGACACGAGTGGGGCGGGTTGGGCTGCGCACAGCGCGGAGCGAAGTTTGCGGCGGGGGAGAGGAGGAATCGGGGCGCCGGTCCCGCGGCTCGACGGGAGCCCTCGGGCAGCCCTCCGAGAGCGGGGAATCGCCCGGGGACCCCCCCTCGGGCCGCCCCACATCGCGGCGACCGCGCTGCAGCGGAGAGGGGAACGCGGCAGCGCGGAGCTCAGCCCCGGCGCTCGCGGAAGCGCTGCCCGCAGCACGGGGAACGCGGCCTCAGGGCTCCCGTCGGCACCGCGGGGGTCGCGGGCACCGGGATTCCCCCCTCACCGCCGGGCGCTCTCACTCACCGGGGAAGCACACCACATCATGGAGCACGGAGCTGGTGATTTTCAAGAAAAAGATCCACCAACACGGTTGCAGTAGCCTCCGCATGTCCAAAGCCGCACATCGAAAGAGGGGAGAGGGGCTAAAACAATTAACGCGCAGGGAAATTAAAAAAAAAATAAAAATTAAAGGGGAAAAAAAAAAAAAAAAAAGAAAAAAAAGGGAGGGGGGAAGAACAAAAAAAATAAAAATAAAAATAAAAATAAAACTTGTTGAAAATAAGTTTCGACCCGCGCCCCGCGATCCTTCGGGAGAAAGCAGGGGGCTGCTGCTCGCCTCCTCAGCGCGGAGAGAAGCCCACGGCCGCGGGGCAGGCGGGCGGCGGCGCGCCGGAGGGCGCGGGGACCCCGCGCGGCGTAGCGCGGGGCGGGCGGCTCGGGGCGCTCAGGCGGGCGGCATGCCGCGGAGCGGGAGCTCACAGCCGCCTCCGCGCACGGGCGGGCGGGCGGCGGTCAGCCGGGGCCCCGGCGCGCTCCATCCTGCTGTACAGGAAGTGGCGGGCGAGCCCGGATCCTGGCGGAGACTTTAAAGCGGGGCGAGCGAAAGGGAGAGGGAGCGCGGCGCGGCGATGAGGAGAGGAGAGGCGAGGAGAGGCGGCGGCGGCGGCGCGCCGGGCGCCCCGGAGGCGCGCCCCCGCCGCCCTTAAAGCGGCCGCGGTGGTGGTGCGGGGACGCGCTTGGCCGCGGGGCCCCGTTCGTGTGCGCGCCCCGCGGAGTGCGAGTGCTCTGGGGTGCGCGGAAGGGAACGGAGGCGGTTTGCCGTTTGCACTCTTACCCCGGCGGCGTCTGTTTGGAGTTACTCGTGCCATTACGCCGCTTTCCGTGCTCGCTGCAGGAGGCGGGGGTTCGGGATGGGTGTCCCCCCGGCACCCCTTCCTCCCTCCCCCCCCACTGCTTTGTGCATTGGGGGTATCTCCGAGGGTGTCTGTCTCTCCGAAATCATGCAGCTCCCCTCCATTCCCCCTCAGTGCTGTACCGTACTGGGTATGCTCAGAGCCCCCCCCCAGAAAAAATCCTACAGCATTTTTTTTCCCCATCTAACGCTGTGCTGTGTATTGCCAGCAATCCCCACCAAAATCACACGGCTTTTTTTTTTCTTTTTTTCTTTTTTTTCTTCCCCATCACTCTGCATCATTCTGGACACTGCCAGAGGTCAACCACAAAATAAGACAACTTTTTGTTCCCTAGTTCTGTACTGGGCATTTTCAGAGAGCTCCCATCCCAAACAATCCTACACCCCCACTCTCACCTTCCCCCCCCCCCCCAAAAAAAAAAGTTCCCACATTTTCGTTCACTCAGTAATATATATCGTTCTGGGAACTGACAGAAGTCCCCCACAAAATTACTCTTGTTCCTCCCAGTGCCCTACACATGAGGTATTTCCAGAGCCCCCCTCAAAAATGAGGCAGATTTTGCAACCAGGTGAAGCCTGCCCCCACGTGCTCCATATCCAAGCCCTGACCTGCAGCTCACCCCCAACAACAGATTCTGAACGACCGATAACTTCGTGCAGGAAACAGAAACAGAAAATGGTGTGAATTCAGGATGAAGAGATGGTTACTTGTGCTTGGTGTTTCCTGCCGCTGCTGTGATCTGCTGGAGCTTAAATTTCATTCAGAAGTAGTTTTGTCTGTTTCTTTGGTAATTATTTCCATTAAAGAGATTGTGTTTCAGAAGGGAAAGGGTTTGGCAGGGGTTTATCAGTGTGTGCTGCGCTCAGCTCTGGCGCTGTCATTTGCTGTGACCGTCTCCTCTTTGCTTACCTGAGAGCCTCCTGCATGCTGCATGCTCTGGTGTTCCAGAGATGGGGGCAGGAGGAGAAGCAGAGTAAGGAAATTCAGGAGTCGTGTTCGTTCAGTTCAATGGCAGTGATTTTCCCTCCCCCAGCCTCAACCAGAGCACAGCCAGCCAAGGCCCAAGTGTTTACGAGTGCTTTGCCCTGAGTTTTCTGGAGGAGACGATGGCCTTGTGTCCATCCAGGTTTGTCCCATGCCCGACAGGTTTACCCCATCAGGGGTTTACTGCAGCCCAAGGACCCCTAATTATGAAGCGCTGCATTTTCACAGGCTTTCTTCTGCCTTTCTCTCCGCAGCCCAGGTTGTGCCTGCCAAAAATCACAGAGAGTTAAGAATGCAGTCCTTAACTAAGGAAACCCTGTTTATCCCAATATGGATTTTAACAGAGTAACGATTTAAGAGTGTGATCACAGGTTTTCTGCCCTTCAGGGCACCGCCCTTTGGGGTGTGCAAAGAGTGGAGAAGGCACTTGGGTAAGGGTTTATCTAAAACAGAGCAAAGGCTTTATAGGCCTCGAACCTTGATTTGCTCATTGGGCTGCTCTGCAAATTATTCCCCTTTCCCCGGTGTGCTCCTGAGTTTTCTGACCTAAGGCAAGAGCGAGGCAGGCAGGCTCCCCTGCAGGGCTAAGAGTCACCTGGCATGTAAGAGGCACTCTTTCAACAGGTGTCATTAAATGTGAGAAGTTATTAAACACTATTGCAATCTCACTAAAGAAGAACAAAAGCAATGGAGTTTTTTCAAGGAGCTATTTGCGTCAGTATTTTTCTCCCTGCTTCAAGATCCTTTGAGAAAGCTATTAATTATACCATTTTATATTTCAAATATATTTTGTACGTTACTTTACAGTTTTCTATTCTGGAAAATTACCAATCTGAAGCTGCTTCTGTATCGTAGAATTGGAGGAATTATGTTTCCCATCCTCAGAGCAAACATGCAAGTAAGATAGAGAATACATAAGCAGGAGAGTGTCTTCTGAGGAGCACAGATGACTTCAGTCCTCTATAAGCTGCTAAGAAAGGTTTTAGAATAGCAGCGTTCCCTTAAAAAAAAAATAATAAAATTAAAGTGTTCAGGATGGATGTTCACTGCAGTCCCTTCACGTCCAAACTTTTAAAGACAAATCTATAAGACCCAGCTGTCAGCATGGACAGCTTGGCACGGCACGCTGTGGTACAACATGTACAACGACCCACCTTTCCCAAATCAATCACTGCATCATCATCACACATCAGTTTAGGAGCTGTGGTGACGGAAGTCGCTTTGTTTCACATTAGCAATTTGGGTGGGCAGAGAGACGGAAAGATGTACGATGGAGATCCAGGGAACAAAATTAAACACGGTCAAATGAGAATCCATTTCCTGCGGTATCTCTTTGCCTGTGGCACACCGTCTATCAACAACACACAGGTACAAATTGGCCTGGAGATGCAGCTTTAACTATCCAAACTGAGAAAGCTGCATTAGCAGCGTGCTGCTCTGCTGGCCGGCCCCACGTGCCTGGCAGAGTGTAGCTTACACGGGGCGCCTGCTTCCCTCACAGTGACTAAAGTACTCCAATACTATTAAAATAACTGCTACTGTATGGAGAGATTGCAGAGGGATGTTACAACACAGTGCACTTAAACCAGATTGATGGTGTTCTGCAAATCTTGTAATATTTACTGTTAAACATGGTGGGCGCTGTCAAGGTGAAAGGAATAGGATCAGCACTCTGTCTGGTTTCATGGAACAGTGAATAACGTGAGATAACTTTTATCTTTTTTTTTTTCCCCTCCTGTTTGAACAGGTAATATTTTTATACTGCCTTCATCAACATATGGGTATCACTCCTGGGAAAGGAATGAAAGTCTGTTAATTTATTTGATCAGACAAGAGAAATAATAGAAAACTGAAGCGAAGGCTCACATTTGTCATGTGTTTGAATTAGTGGAAAGCTGGAGAAAGCAGAAAAATGTTGTGAGGAGTTCAAAGATGAGAGGGTTTATTGAATTAGAAAAATATTAATAGCATTAATCATTTCCAAAACAGGCTTCTTAACATGTATAAGGATTATATAAAGGATTGGGGAAATAAAAATGAAAGAAAAAAATCAGATACGGAAAGTTACATTTTTCTGTGTTTAGGGAAAAAAAAGGGATAAATTTCCACTCATTTACATCCATCCAATCTGACTGGAGTGAGGAAAACACCAGGTAAGGATCTGGCCCCCAAAGAATATATCAATATGAAGGATCTGAAGGAGCAGCCGTAGTTCAGATTACAAGCCACGTGAGGCACAAACTTCCAGGTTAATTCAGCATATAGTTCCTATCTAGCTTTGTATAGGAAGGAAGAAAAGGACACTGAGCTTGTAGTTTCATAAATTATATTATTGCAGAGCTACTTGCTCATAGCCTCAGGACAGATACATTCTTCTTAGAGTGTGCAGTGAGGCTTTGAAAGCCTCACATGGTGTCTGAGAAGCTGCTGAGAAACAGAGGTGGAGGGCGAGCAAAATATCTGTGAGAGAAAAGGAGGCTTTGTTTTGATATAATCACAACAACTGTGTTGTTTGATTTATAAAGACACAAAAATAGACTAACCCAGAAAGGTGAGTAAAGCAAAATCTTTGGAAAATGCTGATGAGTGATGCAAACTCTGGGTAAAGGAGTAGGACACTTGCAGAGAGCACTGCAAAAGTCATCAGGCTGCACAGCCGTAGCACTGCCAGCATTGTTTGAATGAGGGTATCTGGGCACTGACTCAAGTAGTACTCCAGGATGTCCTGGTGGAGCAGTATGCTGCAGGGTTTGCAATAGCTTCTTTGGAAGATCGATGCATTTATTTCCTCATAATCTATGAAAGGAACCCCCACCTTAGGGTGCACTCAGGCTAAATCATTCAGAACAGGCCCTCAGTCACATGCTGAAATACCCACTTGAAATTTTCATCCCGGTCTTTAAATCATACATCTCTTTTGTCTCCTGAAATGGCCTCAGAATGACTGCATTCTGCAGAAGTGTGCTAGCAACTGGTGCAGTGGAGGGTCAGGCTGATCAGCAATGAGTTTCTTTCTTTCAAAAGCAAATGTAGTTCAAAGTCCTGTGGTATGACCTTGCTAGGGCTGTAAGTGTGTTTAATTCACAAATCCTCTCTTTTTAAAAGAGAAGAAAAAAGTCGACTACCAGTGTAGCAGTGAGCAGAGCCAAGCATGTTAATGAGTGTAACTGAGGGATGAGCATGGCAGACCCAGCCTCCCCTCCTGCCTGTCACTTACTTGCCAGTTCCCTTGCCAGCAGCACACCAAGAACACAGCAGCTCCCTAGGACTTAAGGTGAAAATTAACCAGACAAGAGACTTGTTAACTCCTGATATAAATAACAGTTGATAAATGTTTGTATGCTTCAGTACTATTTGAGTTCAATGTCAGTGTTGTGACCATCAGTTGTAGGGAAGCAAAAATCTTTTAACCACCCTGGGTGTTCTTAACATTACTGTGCAGCTCGCTGCTGAGATAACT